AAGAATGCATGTATAGGCTTCTTTAAGTCCAAGGTCAGATGGAATATGTGGAGGCCCCCAGATTGTGGAGGCCCCTGGGCAGCTGCCCACTCCTGAATCCGGCCCTGCAGCTATAGTTGCAATTTCAAATTTTGTGTCGTTATACTAAGGAATAATGGAGTCTCGGGTGCATTCTAGGATTGAGAGAAAACGGAGGACGCAGGTTAAGTGAAGTAATGAGAAAACGGACGCCTCAGAAGGGGGACTCAATAAAGAAGGCATAGCTACATGTTTTGTGGGCTATTGAGCGCAATAAGAATCGTCTGATTTTATGTTAATTAACATGTACGACCGTGGTCATTACACTAGCTTGGAAAAAAGACTTTCTGCTTGACCGCAAGCAGTGTGTGGTGATTAATGGCACGAAATCATCATCTGTACTTGTCACAAGCGGGTTACCACAGGAAAGTGTATTTTTACTTTTATCCTCTTCGCCACTGATCTGCTCGTTAGCCGCTTGGGCGATCGGTCACGTCTCTGTCACGCACTATTGGCAAATACTGGGCATGCACCGGCTCCTGAATGTACCTGAACCCGCTCCAGTGTTGGTCAAGTCTTGTCTTGAAAGAGCTTGCACTCGGTGCCGTCACAACACTCTCTGGTAGATTGATCCAAGAGTTTACAACCCTCACTCCGAAAAAGTTTGCCCTCACAGTTTTCTGGACTTGCGGCTTCTTCAATCTTGAGTTGTGACCCCTTGTGGGGCGAGCGTCCGCCAGCTCCAAGTAAGGACACTCGACTGAGTGGTGCCCCCTGAGATGCTTATACACCTCAACTCGGTCCCCCCTTGCCCGTTTGTAATATAAGCTAGGCAAGTTCAGGCGCTCCAATTTCTCAGGGTAGCTGAGGTACCGAAGTGCAGGCACCATTCTGGTGGCCCTCCTCTGAACATTTTCAACCAACTGACAGTCCTTAGCATATCTCGGGGACCAGATGGGGTGACAGTACTCTAGATGGGGAAGCACTTCACTCTTGAAGATCGTTACGAGAGACGGACCGTCTAGATATCTAAACGACCTTCTTAAAGACCCAATAATTTATTTTCCTGGTTTACCTTCTTCTCGCAATGGCCCGAGAACTTCAGCTCATTGTCAACATACACACCTAGGTCCTTCTCACATTCAGTCTCAACTAGTGCAGTTTCTTCATCCCGTTGGGACATATGATACGCCTCCTTACCGTTGGTATGCCCCAGGTGCATCCTCTTACACTTAGTTACATGAATCTCAGCAGCCATTTCTTCGACCATTCCTGGAGCCCACAGAGGTCCTTCTGCAGCTCTTCACAGTCAGCTTGGTTCTTAATTTCCCAAAATAACTTAGCGTCATCGGCAAACATTTGTATGGAGGAGTGTACAACGTCAGGCATGTCATTTATGAAACAAACAAACAACAGCGGGCCCAATACACTGCCCTGTGGTACCCCACTTGTGACAGGTACGGATGACGATTTCGTGCCAGTAATCACCACACACTGCTTGCGGTCATGTAGAAAGTATTCTATCCATGCAAGGACATTTCCCCAAATTCCGTACCCTTCCTGTTTGATTTTCAGCCTTTCATGGGGTACACTGTCGAAAGCCTTGGCAAAATCTAGGTAAATATTGTCGATATTACCACCCCGTTCCAGAATATGGGTCCAAATATCCAATACCTTGAGCAATTGTGTTAAGCAGGAGCGCCCCCGCAATCCTTTACAATATTGTTTCGTATTAGATGTTCCATTGCGGTATCTCTGATAATACTCTCAAGTACCTTACCTATTATGCTGGTCAGGCTCACTGGTCTACTGTATAGTTGTTTGTGGAGTGCCGATAACCCTTCTTGAAGATAGGACTCACATAAGCCACTTTCCATTCACTGGGGACCTTTTGTTCATCCAGGCATTTACAAAACAGGATCTTCAGGGGCTCTGCAAGCTCGTTGCACAACTCTCTTAGCACTCTAGGATGCACCATGTCAGGTCCGGGACTCTTATGGACCTTTAGCCTGGACAGTTTATTTCTAATACCCTCTTCAGTGAACACAATGTGGGTCAGTGCTGTTGTGAGGGGGCGGGTTTTAGGCCTGCCACCAATGTGAGGGGGCGGGTTTCCTCTCTGTTTCTACACCTCCCTCATCTTACTTACTTCTCTTAGTTCTTACTCTTACTCAGTTCCGTCACCTATTCTTTGGTAGCATGGACATTCTTTTGGTAGCATGGTCGAGGGTCTAGGCACGTGAGTATGGTAATTTTGGTATCACGTCACTTGGATGGAAATAAAGGTAAAATACTGTGGGAGAAATGAATACACCTAAAGTACTCTAAAAACAAGTTTATTAATATGCCATCAATGGGGAAAGATATTGTATTAATCATATAATTACCAGGCTCACCTCCTGGGCTTAGTGCAAACTCAGTTCCTTCTTCTTTACTCTTACTCACAACATTACTGGTGGTACATTACATGGCACTCATTGTAGATTATTCAACATATACGTAAACAATGACACTAGTATATGCAGGGGTCCATTACCCAACATGGGATAATTATTTCCAACTAATTATCCCTAACATACATGTTACAACACTCTCTGGACATTCACTGCCAAGGAGTAACCCAGGGCAGAACACTAGGGCTCGCAGCCTTTGATATTGTGGGGTAACCAGACACATGGCAGGTCTGGGGTCTGGCCCAACGAAGTCGTGGGGCACATTTATCAGGCCGCATCGGTGCCATCTTTTCATATATGATCCCGGCTGGACATCTAATACATCCGAGGCCGTTGTTGGATGGTAGAGCGATTCAAGAATCACGATGGGATCTGGAGACAAACGGGGCAGCGTCAGGGGACTGAGAAACATGACAACACAAACAAACTCTCTTGTCTAGACGACAGACGTATTTACGTTATATTACTTCTACACTGGGTGAATGACAATTCAACTGTTAAATCATGAACACTGGTGAACACTGATATTCACTACAATTGACTGAATTAACTGAATGGCTAGGGAACACAGATCATACCTGGAGAAATATTGTAGCAGCGTCAGAGGACGCTCTCACTGGCTATCTTGAGTTTATATACCCCTGAGTTGCCAGTGATCGCTACTCACGCAATGACAATAATTACAAACAAACTAATTGTTACTCATTCAAAGATGACCCTCAGTTGACAAAGGTCTGGTGAATTACTTGGGTTGATTTACCCAGACTAATTCAAGATTGAGCTTCCCAGGAGAAAGTGGAATAACAATGCATTGATAACTGTCTTCACAAAGGCGGGGCTTACTGGGAGGGATCGCGAGGGTAAACACGCTCCTTCTAGGGGTCGCTAACTCACTCATGTTTTGCGGGCGTGGAGTTTAATAAGAATCATTAGTTAAATAGATCAGCAGTCAACGTGACCATGACACTGTGTCGAATCGTCTGTCCTCAAACGCAGAAAGGTTAGTTGCATCCTCTCTTGTGAAAACCGTGGTAAAGAAGCTGTTGAAGGCCTCAGCTTTATCCTGGTTTCATAAATGACGTGCCTGGCGTTGTACACTCCTCCATACAAATGTTTGCCGATGAAGTCAAGTAATTTCTGGATATCAAGAGCCAAGCGGACTGTGAAGAGCTGCAAAAGGATCTCTGTGAGCTCCAAGAATGGTCGAAGAAATGACTGCTGAGATTCAATGTCACGAAGAGTAAGAGGATGCACCTGGGGCGTAACAACGGGAAGGAGGCCTGCTGCAAGACCTACCCCCTCACGGGAACAATAAACAGTTCAAGCTCAGAAATTTAAGGTAAATATACAATTCTTACAGTTTTTTTTAATATTCATGTTTTCCCTTTGTCAAATTATAATTTGATTTATAATTTATTTTAGCTTAGCTATATAATTTCTAAAACATGTTCTAAAAGTTTTCACATACGTGGCAACTCAACATCATCTTTAGAGTTGTGTACGTAGCAAAGGGTAGGTAGCCTACCCGTCAGACCAACCCCACTATAGTGACAATGATTATACTGAATGGTCATTATTTACAACCAGGTCAATATTTGGAATTATTACAGTGGTCCCTCGGTTAACGAGCACCTCGGTTAAAGAGATTTCGGTTAACGAGTTACCTTCCATAAGATTCTTAACTTCGGTTAACGAGCAATCCCTCGATTAACGAGTTTCTTACGAGCCGACCTCCACATGTTTTAGCTTGCATTTGGCGGTCCACCAGCTGTAGTATTAGTCCGCCAATGCAGTAATCGGTTCTAGGGCTTATCCTTACCCTTTTAGTAATTATCCAGAAGTTTATACTATTCAATAATTTTAAAAGTTTAATATTAAATTTTTTAGTCATTTTAACAATTATTGAACATAATTGAAGGTAAAGAAACTAGTTTGTGGCACGCCATCCAGCCTGCCAACACAGCATACAAGAGTCAGTCTCTTTGTCTCTTTAGTGGAGGTAACATCTTGCTTGAGACTCTCTTCAACTAAACGTTTTTTTCTGTGTTTACAAGCAAATTATTGGTCATTTTGAAGTTTATTTTACATATTGACAATATATAATGCAGTGCAGTGTTGATTTAAAGAAAATAATCTTGAATTACACCAAGAGAACTAAAATTTTATGGGTGAAATGGCGCCATGGAGTGACTTCTCTTCCACCTCCACTTCCTTCTCTTCTCCCTTCTCCTCCACCCTCATTCTAATCCCCATCATCAACCAGGAGCCTTCTACATACACACCTCAAAGTAAGTGTACCTTTCTACCTTTTTTGTTGAATTTAGGCAATTTTCGGTGAGCTGGAACCAATTACCCAAAAACCCATTGAAACAATGGTTTCGGTTAACGAGCAACCTTCTTGAACAGATTGTGCTCGTTAACCGAGGGACCACTGTATTGAAGATGTGTATTAAGCAATATTTTATCACTGCAGGCAGTGTGGAAGAAGGCGGGACAAAGAGGAGGGGAGGAGAGTAATGACACAACAGATGCCAGCCTACCGATGTTTATTCCATTAATAATTCTATGATTTCTTGATGTCTCTTATATTTAACAAACTTTTTTTATACACATATAATTATGATAGTAATTACATTTTAAAAGTACTGTTCAATATTTTGTATAGAAACTATTTATGTAGTATTCACCAAAAGGCTTTAAGTCACGTATTTAAAATTTCATAACAATCATTGGTTTCTTTAGGTATTTTATGATGAAATATTGTACTGTAGTCTTAAAGATGTCAATTCAAGGTATTAAATTATTTTGGTTAGATATGATTGTATGGCTGTCGAGACGCATAAGGACGAATGTACACAGTGGTGGGTGGATGACCACACAGTGACCGACCGAACCCCAACAAGAAGAAGGTAGACGAATGTATCCAGTGCAGTGAAGGTGGATGGAGACGGAGTGTTGTACAGTACAGTATTTGGAGACTGTACTGGAGACTGGCAGGATTACATTGGACCACTGTAGCTATAATGTTCTAAATATATTAGAATAAATGTTGTTGAATATAAATACAGTAGTACCCCAATTTACGCGGTCAATTGAACCCACAGGGTACCACGGAAAGTGAAAACCGCGTAAAGTGAACAACAGAACATATGGGATGAATTCCAATAGAGACTGGCCCGACCCCCAAACTCCACTTTTTCCGACACAATACCTATGTTGTAGTAAAAATATCATCTAAATTTTATGATGGTATGCTCACACAATTAATATTTAAGAGAAATACAGTCGCCAGGTTAATGTCCATTCAAATAATGGACTCAAATCCCCCCCCCCCCTCTTCCCAGCTCACTAGCTCCTACCTCTCTGAGTAATGTTTGGGTGAAAACTCTAGATTTTAACGTTTAGTAATAAATAATACCTCAGACTAAAGTTAGGATAATATAATTGACATTTCTGGATTCCTTGCAGGTCAGGGAATATTTTGAATGTAAACTTCATATATTTTGCACAAACGATAAAATATTTGCTTTGTGTAAACCGAATTATTACATTAGATCTAAAATTTGTATGTCCAATGCAAAATCCATGATGTTTATATTCAAAATGATCATCATATTGTAAGAATTCCAGCGATGTAAAATTATATTCTGGCCAGGTAATTTGTATGAATTTTATGAGCTAAAACAAATATCTTCAGTAAATAAACAAAGAAATATTGTTCAAGGACACTATCTGTCAATCAAAATACCCCACCTCCGCCCACCTTCCCTCCCTAGCAGAGAAGCGATTGGGAGAAAATAGTATATTTACATTTTTAGTAATAAATAATAACCCAGACTAAAGTTAGGATAATATAATTGACATTTCTAGATTCCTTGCAGGTCAGGGAATATTTTGAATGTAAACTTCATATATTTTGCACAAACGATAAAATATTTGCTTTGTGTAAACCAAATTATTACATTAGATCTAAAATTTGTATGTCTAATGCAAAATCCATGATGTTTATATTCAAAATGATCATCATATTGTAAGAATTCCAGCAATGTAAATTATATTCTGGCAGGGTAATTTGTATGAATTTTATGAGCTAAATAAAAAAAAATATATATAAATTATACTTCACTGCATATATGAGTAGATGCACCACGGAGAGTGAAAGTCCGGTTCTGGCAAGGTACCGCGTAAATGAGAAATCGCGGAAAGTGAAACCGTGTAAAGTGTGGTAATACTGTACAGTAATACTTTTAATTTATTATACCTATTGCTTATTGACAGTTTTTAGATATGTAAATAATTTTTGTAGCATGTTTTAATACAGTATTACCCCGCTTTACACGGTTTCACTTTCCGCGATTTCTCATTTACGCGGTACCTTGCCAGAACTGGACTTTCACTCTCCGTGGTGCATCTACTCATATACGCAGTGAAGTATAATTTATTTATTTTATTTTTTTATTTAGCTCATAAAATTCATACAAATTACCCGGCCAGAATATAATTTACATCGCTGGAATTTTTACAATATGATCATTTTGAATATAAACATCATGGATTTTGCATTAGACTTACATATTTTAGATCTAATGTAATAATTTGGTTTACACAAAGCAAATATTTTATCCTTTGTGCAGAATATATGAAGTTTACATTCAAAATATTCCCTGACCTGCAAGGAATCCAGAAATGTCAATTATATTATCCTAACTTTAGTCTGAGTTATTATTTATTACTAAAAATGTAAATATATTATTTTCTCCCAAAGCTTCTCTGGTAGGGAGGGAGGGAGGGAGGGAGGGACCGCACCAGCTAGGGCGGAGTATTTTGATTGACAGATAGTGTCCTTGAAGAATATTTCTTTCTTTATTTACTTAAGATATATGTTTTAGCTCATGAAATTCATACAAATTACCTGGCCAGAATATAATTTACATTGCAAGAATTCTTTCAATATGATGATCATTTTGAATATAAACATCATGGATTTTGCATTAGACATACAAATTTTAGATCTAATGTAATAATTTGG